ATATAATTAGTTATGGAATATGTTATATAATATCGGCTGATGTCAATAATGATACTTTCATTGATTTAGTAATTTCTAATTGTTTCAATAACTCTGTCACTATTCTATTTGGTCAGTCAAATGGATTATTCGCTAATAATATTAGTTATACAGTTGGTCTCTCTCCAACATCAATTGTATCGGGTGATTTTAATTTCGATGGACAACTTGATCTAGGAATAGCTTGTTTTAATGATAATACTGTCAGCTTATTAATTGGAAATGGCAGTGGAACCTTTCAACATTTACCTGGATATGGAACTGGTTTAAATCCTATTTGTCTCGTATCAACTGATTTTAATAATAATTTAAGGCTTGATCTGGCGATAGTTAATCAAGGTGTTAATTTCATAAGTTTAATGCTTAGTGATGTTAATCGAATCTTTCAAGCACGACGAACAATCAACACTGGCTGGAAGCCTGTATTTGTCTTAGCAAATTATCTCAATAATGATAATATATTAGATTTAGCTGTGGTGAATCAAGGCGACAACTCTATCAGTATTCTATTAGGTGATTCAAATGGTTTCTTTCAACTTCAAAAGACTTATACGGTTGCAAAAACTCCATCATTTATGTTGGCAGGTGATCTAGACAAGGATGGTATACAAGATCTAGTTGTAATTAACAAAGGTAATAATAGCGTAAGTGTCCTTCTTAACAACAGAACTGGAATCTTTCGATCATATATGAACTATACAGTTGGTGATACACCAATTTCTCCTGTATTAAATGATTTTAATAATGATAACAATTTAGATTTAATAGTGACTAACTATCTCAGTGCTAGTTTGTCAATATTTCTTGGAAACGCAGATGGTAGTTTTTCAACTATGAAAAATTATATTATTGGTGGATCTCCTTATGCTATTGTTGCACTCGATTTTAACGATGATGCAAAACTAGATCTTATAGTGACTAATTATATTGAGAATACTTTTAAATCGTTGGTGGGCTATGGTGATGGAACTTTTAAGATAAATATCGATCGTCAAACTGGTGTAGATCCAGTTTCAGTAGTCATTGACGATTTTAATAATGACAAAATGATGGATGTTGCCACAATTAATACACTTTCTAATAATATTGGTATTAAACTAAACTTGTGCACTATATAAAACTAAATATCACTATTCATTCTATTTGAGGATCAATCTCTTTTAATAGTTTATTTTTTTTGATTATATTGAATCTTGTTAGAGAGCACTCTAACAAGTTAAATCTACCTAATGATTCTATTAATTTCACTCATTCTGTTTTCGTGTACTCAAAAAGTGAGTACAATATAGAATCAATCTGTATTTCGCTAATGATAATACTGTCTTTAAAATCTATTTTTTGTATTTCTATAATGCGAACATGGTTCATTATCATTTTTGTTTTACTGGAACGTTTTTGCTTATAAAAGAATAAAGAAGCAGCTGCACTCGCGTCAATCTTCACGACCCAGATAAAGTTTTTCAGGATTAAACTTCTATCGATCAAAACTATTCTGATAGTTTCTAAAGATCAAATTTTCCAAAATCATTCATAGTCTTTTTTTGAAGGCAATTTAGAGATATTCTATATTTATTCTTCTATGATCATATCAGAAACAATACTTGCAGAAGAAATAGATACATGTGAACATGATTGATTATATTATGGTACACTTTTTTCTCTCATTTTTTTTCATATAGGTACCAACTTGTACTTGATCGATGCATTTTTGTTGTTGATAAATAGCTCGAATTTCCGGTAACGATAAGCATCGTTTGAAAGCAACAAGATCGGCAATGCCCGCTTTGACTGGTGATTGTATCGAGTAGTCATTCCGCTTGCAAGTGAGCATAAGTGCATTCGTCGTGCTTCTTGTCTTGATATGTTTATTGAATGTTCGATGGAGACTGAACGTATTCAGATCATGTCCATTCAACCATATGCAATGCCCAGTTTGTGATTCACTGTTGGCTATAACAATATGTATCCATTGATCATCAAAGAATTTTTTCTTATGTCCACTGAAATACCATTGTCTATCAGCATGTTGACAGTTATGTAAGTCTATAACATAATTCTTGTTAATTTGTACAACTAATTCACATTGATAAGGTAAGAAGAACCAAAAAGAAAATGAATAATATCTATCAAAAAGTGATGGTTGATAATGTTGTTCGAAGAAATATTCGCTACCAGTAATATAAAATGGATCAATCAATGGTAGAAGATGACATTCACTTGATTGTAAATTTTGAGGAAATAGAGATTGATCGAGATTTTGTATTAGTCCTTGTCGATGGTTACGAGATGACTGTCGAGAGAACTTCAGTGATTGATGAAACCATTTGTTAAGAAAATCTTCATCGTCCATAATATGCGATCGCCAATAATGACAAACAAGCGAGGCTCGAATCAGATCTGGCAACTGATCAATGTAGTAAAAGATGCTCCTGAATAATTCAATGGGTAATTGATCCATTTGTTTTGATCGGTTCACTTGTCAACTTCATATGTATATACACAAGTATATATACGTATATGTAACCTCTCGTGGTGGATTTTTTTGAAAAGAATGGACGGTTATTGTTTCTTCATCCGTCCGACAACCAACAAAAGAAAAGGTCATAGCAAAAGTTTATTCGTGATAGTTTCATTTTTGCTCGGCACAAAATAAATATCATTATAGGTTAACTTTACTGTCGGCTGAGTATAATCATTGCCAAATCGAAAATCTACAAAATACGTTGGAAAAAAATGAATTTCAAATTAAATCATTTTTTCTCTTACGCTTTTGTCAAATTTATATTATTCGATGTATCCATTTCATCTGAATTATTCTTTAAAAACCACAAATAAAGACATTGTTTTCTTTCTTTTTCAGTTTTAAAATAAGACAAAAGTCAATTAATCCACTCTTAGAGAAGATCATTTATTTGATGTTTACTATTGCTGTTGTTTTGTTCAATTTCTTGAACTTATTTCTCGACCAGTTATAGCAATCATTGCTAACATCTCAGCAATTAGAAATGCGATAATTACACCAATCAACAGGTTCGTATCACTTTGCTTAACTTGTAACGGAGATTCTGATTTTAAATTTAAAACATAAATAAAAATGATGATGAGAAAATAATGTTCTTTATAACATTTGAATGAATTCATATAGATCTTACCATCATTTAATTAATTAATTAAATTTACATAAAAGCTGATATAAACATGAGTAGATGTATTTGAAACTTCGTGCGGTTAGAGGATGCATGATGACAGGACTTTATATAAGTTGGGTGTGGGTGGGTGTGGATGTGCAGAGCGAAAACACCCGTACCCACACTCACACCCTCAAGTTGGTGCAATAAACATTTCTAACGACAGTAATATACATGTATTATGTTCGTTAAATTATTAAATTTTGAGTACAGTATAGAAGTAAAGAAAGAAAAACTATGAGTCATACAGGTATTTGTTGTGTTTTTGGTTGTAAATGACGAAAGCTTTCGCAATACCCCAATTATTTTCAACATAATATCAAATAGAATTATGAGAAAAAAGGAATGAAGCTCCCGAGTGGATTCGAACCACCTGTCTTCCGGTTAACAGCCGGATGCATTTACCGCTTATGCCACAGGAGCACGTTAAATATTGTATACAAACAAGTTTTTCTTTTTATCACAAGTATAGTAGGTCTTAGAATTATTATTTCACAATTTGTATTGTCAAGATTTAATAGTTTAGCAGAAAGAAGGGTGTGGGTGCGGGTGTGGGTGTAAATGTAAAGTATTTTCAATCATGTCCACATCCACATCCACTACCCCACACTTACACCCACCCTTAAAATAATCTGACTATCGAAAAAATACATTTAGATGACTAATATAATTCCCTTTATTGCATCAGATTTTTTTGTTTTTCGAAGACATATTTATCTTGCATTAAGAAGAATACAGTTTTATATCAACAATGTTTAAGTGCACAGCACTTAAATCCATATGAATTATTTTTCTTTCTTTATAATAACATTTCTTGTATATTGTCGGACCTTGAATGGCTTTTTTTCTCAATTTTTACACGTTCTTTCGCAATAAAATACGTGGTTCGAAGAAAAGAAAAAAAGTGACAGCTGTTGTTACTTTATAAAATAAACTAAACGGATTATTCCGCGAAAAGAACATTCAGTCACACACACATATAATACCATCCGAGATTCACACACTATTAGAATTTTTTCAAATCATTCGATTTAAATAATTTCGATCTAAACTTAAGTTTGGTCTCGTCTTTTGATTTTCGCATGACTTCATATTTTGAAAAACAATGAAGAGCAGAAAATTAACATAGAAGAGTGTGGACACATTCTGTTTTACTTCCTACAATAGTATAGATATACGTCGTACGTTTTATCTATTTTATAGTATAACTATTCTTCATTAATTCATCGTTGATTCAATTATATAACATTAAACAACATGGCATCAGAATCAGCAGGTAAACAACAACAAAAGGATATTGGTAGTCTAATCACTCGTGCGAGTGTGTTTGTGTGTGGCTATTCTATTCATTCCACACCCACACCCTTTTAATATAGATTTATTTTCCAATAGTGTCAAATTATTATTTTTGTAACATACATTTACTCAGAAATTCTGCATATATAAGAAAATTTTGAAGATAACATTAAAATATCCCAACACCACATTAAAATTCATTGAAATGCAAGAGACCAGATAGATAGATCACATCAACATGCAGAGATGAAATTAGCATATGTATATCGCTAGTCGTCTTGGATAAAAGTATAATATACATCAGTCTGCGTCGCCGACATGATGTATGGTCCATTGAGATAGTATACTAAGTGCTACTAATACTTAAATATAATATACACCGAATCTCCATAGTAGCCATGTGCTAATCTTTCATCGACTTGTTTTGAGTTTAACATCGTCTTCTTAACAAACAGCTGAAATCTCATTCTATGTACTATGCATGATTTTCTAACTACTAAACATTTTGATTTAGAACATCAAGAATTTGACGATCCCAAAACGTGCGAGAAACTCATTTGTAACGGTCGTCCTTGTGCAAAATGTCATATGTGTCGTGATTGGCATTTTACCGGAGATTACGATACATGGACACGGATCACCAATTGGGAGAATTGGACAAAAGATGAATGGAATCGTTTTCGCAATGATGGTATTCGTAACAATTTTAAGGAACGTGATGGTGCCACATGTAATAATAATAATGCTCTTCCTACTACTCCTATTTTTTATACTCCTCTTCTTGATCCTGCTATTCCTCTTTTTTTACTCGTGATGCTATTTATGCTAAGCATCTATGCATTTGTGACCTACATTAACACAGTATTGACTTCAGTGACGGTGCTTTTTGACACTTCATTGATTATATTCCGAAATAAATGTTGATGAGCAAAATAAAAGGGAACGCGCGTGTACAAGATGAATGGAAGTGATAGCGAATATATGTGCATGGGTATCGCTGGTTGTACGGGAGATATTTTTGTCAAAGTTCGGGAAAGGAAGAAGAAGAAAAAGAAAACTGCAAAAAATTGTTTTATAAACAATTAGCAAATTTTAAATGATGTAGAAATAGCTTTAAAATTTTTATATCAGTAGTAAAATATGTCACTAGTAGAATTCATTGGATGATTTTGGAGGAATGAAAAATCAGTTATGCGTTTTACGCTTATTTACCATTCTCTCACGGATGGGCTCGTACGAAACAGTCATGTGTAATAAGGAGACCATATTGAGACTATTTTGCATTCTATTGATAATGGGCTAAGAAGGTGTTTTTTCCGGCGGAAACAGTGTTTGTTACATTTCATTGATCCTGTGTCGAGTGTCACGATTCTTCGAGAAACAAACAAGAAGGTTTCATTTTCAGGGTGGGTGTGGGTGTGGGTGTGGGTGGGTGTGAGTGGATGTATAGGTCTTCTCTTTTTCCACCCTCAGCCACGCCCACACCCATACACCCACACCCAAAAATTACAAAAATACTTGAAATACTTTTGAAACTTTTCAAAAAATCTCGCAAAATTCATCGACGGCCCCTCCCCCAATTTCTTGGGCTTCAGGACACCCCTGAAACGAGCACATGGTTTTAATTATGATAATAGTCCAAAATGGTTATGGTTAACTGGTTATTATATTCGTGCTAAACTTTATTGGTCAAAACAACAAAATGATCCTTTTTAGTTGTTGAACAAACAAGAAAACATTTAGAAGAAATTGTTTCTACACATATGGAATTAATTTTATCAAATGATTGGAAAGGTTTACTTGAATTAACAAATGCTAATGGAAAATTATGTTCTCATTCATATTCTGTTCAAGCTTTTAGAAGCTTTATATGATCTCACACAATGTTTAAATTGACCAAATATATTTTTATATTTATTTAATAAATTATAATTCTATTTCAGTATATATATCCACGAACTAACTGAAAATTTTAAAGTAGACATAACTATCATGATCTCAAGCACAACAGAGAGCGATGAGGGTGGTGCGGAGAGTATTTTCGACGAAACGAGAACTAACTATTTAATTGTTTATACATTAATTTTGTCATCGGAAGTGAAAAGAACATGTACTATCCTAAAAGATGATGAATTTATTTATTTATCAATAAAAACAAGTTTTTCACAATAATAACAACTATATACATCTTAAATCTCTTTTGAAGTAATTAAAGCATTTGGAAATGTTTCTTTTGTTTCATCTTCATCACAGTATTCATATTCTCTGAATATATTTAAATCAGAAATTTGTTCACAGATCAAAGCAATTTGTTGATTTTCATGAATATAACTATTAATAACATGAATTGTAATACCATCGACAATTAAACATCGAATATTTGGTGTTAATAATAAAAAATCAATATATTCTAAATCATCTGTAGAACCATAATATTTTAATGTTTTAATTGTATTTAATATAATTCGATTTCTTCTTTGAAATATTTCAGGCTCTACAGAACATGTATGCCATGATATAATCATTTGATTTAATTTAGGAAATGTTTCTTTAATAAATTTCAAAAATTTCAATGTTATTGGTGTTGAAGCAAGAAAAATTGATTTTATATTATTTATTTGTAATGGTATTGTTAGATTTGTACGATAACAGAGAATTTCATCTGTTATTGTGTCTTTTTCTTTTAATATCCATGGTAATGAAACAATAGTAAAACAAGGAATACTTCGATCATGATAACACATAACTGGATGATTTGACCAATATGATGTCGAATGAAATGTTGATATTAATTTATCTAGACCTGAAATCATATAGAAAATATGTTTAGTATAATTCTTTAAAAATAATCATATTCTTACCATTATTAATATCGATATTTTGTTTATAACTTGATATTTGAAAAATAAATTTGAATTCTTTCAAATTTGGAATTTGTGAAAGAATCGTTGATTCTAAAATCTTTCCATTAATTTGTTCATCAATTGACATATTTAATGTTAAATATTGAAGAGATTTTTGAAATGGTTCTATAAATAACAATAAACGATTATAAGAAAAATCTAATGAATTAATAATTAAATATTTTAATGATGATGATAATTTATTCTTTTTATTTTGAATATTTTTATAATCATATTTATCATTTTTATCTAATTCACAAACTTCAACATTTAAATATTCTAATTTTGGCAAATATTCAATTAATATAAATAAATCATGAATATAATGTAATTTTATTGTTAATTCTTTTAAATATTCATTCATTATTAATACACTTGGTTTAAATGAAAACCATAATATTGATAAATCACTAATATCTTTTAATATTAATTTTTCTATAATAGAATCATTTTGAAATAATAATAATAATGCAATATTATGATTAAGAGTCATATAATCATCATTAATATCATCAGTATCTAAATTTAAAATTAATGATTTACATTTTGTTTTAAAGATATTTAAATATGATTCTGACAAATGATTATTTGAATTCGAAGCAAATCGATAATTCCATATGATTGATTTAAGATAAGGATATTGATTAAGTATTGTTGATTTTGTTGGAAATAATATTTGTAATTGTGAATGATTAAATTTTATATTTGTTATTAATGGTTCAATTAATGATAAAGATTTTTTAATCCACTGTTTTTTCTTTTTTGTTACATCAATTTTACATGAAAATTGATTGATAAGAAAATTTAATCGTTTATTTAGACCATAGAATGATTCTATCATATTATAAGATGATAAATAAATTAAAATAAATTCTAACAATTCATTAGGTAATGACATCAGGTTTGATTTTATTGGATCTAAAAAAAAAGAACGATAAACTATTTGTACGATAAATAAATACATTTTTTACTTTCTTTTTTTGTTAAGCATTGTTTCATCGTATTATTCGTATCTTTATCCATAATTATTTATGAAATCCAATATGTAAATCTGTTAATATAAAGAACAAACATCAGCTATGCCAGCTATGTGAAGAAAACATTTTACCCACATTTTATTCTCCATATTTAAATTATATCAACCTTTCAAAATACAAAAAGAGGGCGTTAATTTATGTCAGTATATGTTTTAAATATTAGTGATCGTCTTAATCGAATACAAATGATAAAAATATGGAATAGATTTTATTAGAATATATAAAAGTGAAATAATTAATGAATAAAACATGATTTTGTTATATTATTCAAGTGCATTCTGTTCTCTCACACGATATTCTATGATCAATATGACAATAAAATAATTTTAAAACTTTTAGAAAGATATTGTCTTTTATCAAATAAAATCTTCTTTTTCATCTATTCAGTTAAGATACAATTTCTTCAAATGTTCGAATAAATATTTATATTCATCATAATTATTGAATCAGTTCTTTATATAAATCGACCTCAACGTGAAAAACAATTAAAATCTTCAAAAACTGGAAAGAAAAGTATTTGGAAAATCGAGTTCTGTTACTTTTGAAGCTCCACGCCCAATTCCTTATCCTGATGGGTCAATTGAAACAACTCGTCCATTTAAATACGACCCTAATTATTTTATAACAATGGGTATTTCAAAAATGGATTGAAAATTAGATAATCAATGGAATAAATATCATAATGAAAAAGTTGAACGTCTTTCATCTGAACGCGAGCATCTCGTTTATGTAAAATATCATCTCAAGCAGAAGATGCAGCACTTGAAACAATGGAATTATTATCGAAATATTTAATTGATCGTTATCCATCTTTATTTGAATATCAACAAAATAAAGAACAAATTCAAATAAAATCATCAAATCCTCTTAAATATGCATCATTATTAATTCAAGATGATTTAATATTAATGATTGAAAGAAATGATGGACAATATTATTTAAAAGGTGGTCCAATTGTTTCACCTGAATTTTGACGTCTTGAAGATAAATTTCAAATGTTACTTGCACAAATTCATTTTCGTAGTGAAAGACAAACACTTCGAAGATTACCAAGATCAGGTGCTATTTTATTGAATAATTCAAATTGAATCACAAACATTTTCCAATCCAAATTCAACTTAAAACATCGAAATGGTTCTTTGAACGAATATTTTCATCAGAATATTTTTGTTAAGAAAATCTTCGAGAAACAAAATGATGAATGATGATATTTGTTGAGAAGATATTTGAATAGAAGAGAAAAGAATTTCAATTTGATGAAAATATCAGAAGAAGAAATGAACAAGAATTGTTGTTAATGATAATTTAAAGATTTGAAAAACTCCAATAATGGAAATATGAAAGAATATTTCAATTGAAATGAATCACATCGAAAACTCTCGAAGAATATTTTAATCAAATGAATTCAATTTTCATTTGTTGTTGATTTTAATGATCAAAATCATCAATCTTATCGAAATATTTCAAGTTTATTAAATTTTTTTAATCAATTATTAAATCAATTCAACAATGTTGAAATGTTAAATTTATCTTTTTTGTGTACTCAAAAAGTGAGTACGCTACTAGAATCGGTCAGTGTGTCCGTCCGGCCGTTTACACGATAACTTTCGAAAGGAGAATCAGATTGAGGTGAAATTTTCTACACAGTTTAGTTTCATTGATATCTCGGTCGAGTTTGAAGATGAGCCCAACCGGTTGTACCATTGCTGAGTTATAAAAGAAATTCGCATTATTGATCAAACCATCCTTGAAGGGAGGTATAGGGATTTTTTTCAAAAAACATATTATTCTCAAAATTATTTACAACATATATAAATCGACTCAGTTTTTAACGCTAATTCCGAATCTGATATTAGTTTTGAACTAAATCGTAGCTTTCTAACAAAATATTGCCTGAAAAAGGTCTCAAAATGCACAAAAACTATATAACTTCTCTTACCTAATGTTTTTGGAGTAGATAGAATTTGTCAAGAGCTCTAAATAATGATAGGGGGTACATATGGTGCGTTCGATGTTTCCTCAACATTACACTGTCCGAAAACGATGAAAAACTTACATATACTGACACTGCCGTTAGAACTTTTGACTGTTGACTGAGAATCAAAAAAACAAAGTCAATGTCTATTTCCGCATTTATTCTCCTTATATTTCTGTTAATAAACATTGTTCTACAAATAAGAAACAAAACAAACAAACAATATATTTTGTTAAATAGATTTATTCTAATAAATTCCAATTGAAGAAGATATGTTCATTTTGACGAATAATTTTATAATTAACGAGAAGTTTTTCAAGAGAACTAATTTTATTTAAATTATTGATCATTTTGTCATCCGCTGTAGGAACATAAAAACATAATGAATTAAGATAAGTATGATTAATTTGTCTAAGAATCGACGGAATATCTAAATTATGTAAATAATCAATTTTAAAAAATGATAAATAAGGAGAAAATTTCATAAGAAAATCGATTTGTTTTATATTTGTAAGATTTCTAAGATAAATTTTCTTAATTTGACTTGTTAAATGTATTGAATAAAGAATAGAAATTTCTTTTAAATTTAAATCTCTTGAATCATCTTCTAATAATAATGAATGAATTTTTAATGATCGAAGTTCAAATAAACAATTTGTTATTTGTAATAATAAACCAATGAAAAGATTTTCGTTTGTAATTTCTAAATGATAAATTTGTGTGAAATTTAAAACACGATTAATATCATTTTGAATAAAATAATTATATTTATTTATATTTATTCGTGAAATAACTAATTGATTTAATTTAAATAAATTTTCTTCATGAAACCATTGTTTTCTAAAAATATACAAAAAAAGAAGATAAAACATTTTATGAAAATTTCTTATTTACTTAGAAGGCAAAATAGAAAAGAGAATATTTTGATTATTAAGTTCAATTTCTAAAAACCATTTTCGTTCAATCCAAAATGATCTTGTAAAATCATTTGTTTCTTCATCATCTCTATCTCTTAGAATTCTATCAACATTTTCTGTATATTTCAAATAAAATTTATTCAATTGAGGCATAAATTTTAAAATAAGATTTTCCCATCGAGAAGCATTGAAATACTCGATAATTTCATGATAAGGTTTAAAAGAAAAAACTTTTAATTTTGAGCCAATTTTACTAATTAATACTTCAATACATTCAAACATAGTGCCCCAAGTAGTTAAACATATGGATAAATGTGTTAAATTAGGCCATATAAAAGGATAATTTGTTTCAAGTGATGAGTCATAATAAAATAATTTCATAAGAGAAACATAATGAATTGAAGGCATATATGATAATATATTTGTTATAGAAGGAAATAAACATTGATAATCAATAATAAGATATTCTAAATGATTCATTTGTTTATTTGGATTAAATGATGAAAATCGTACTGAACTTGAATAATTATCTATTGATAATTTAAAATATTTTAACATTTTTAAAGAAAAAATTTCATGATAAATTTGAGAATCATCAATATTACATTGTAACAATTTAATTGTTAATAATTTGAGACATGGTAAAGATTGTAAATTTGAAATAAATAAAAGAAGTTCATTTGAATTAATTGAAGTAATACGAAGTGATTCAAGATAAATAAATAATGAATCAATTAAATTTATTGAAAATGATTCATTTAAACTAAGTGAATAGATTTGTTCTTTATTAAAACGAAGAATTTCATTCGAAATATTAGAACAATATTTCATTTTTAATCTCAATGATGAAGAATTAATTAATTGTTGAAAACGATGATTAATATTTGAAAATATATGATAGATTTGATAACCATCAAGATAATTGAAAATTTCATAGAATAATTCATTTGAAAAATCTTCAATTATTGATCTATTATAATTGTCTTTCATGTTTATATGATATTGGACTTTCATTATTTCAATATCATATCTAGCAGAGATATTCATGACGGCGCTGCCGCTACCGCTACCGCGGCGGTGGCGCGGCGCGACAGCGGTCGAATTTTTGGAAAGTTTTATTTTAATTTTATCGAAAAATCAATAATGCTTGAGATTATAATTTTTCCATGATTCACATTAAAAGGAGTTTTCTTCTGTATCAGTACATTCTATCGCTATTGCACCGTCTAACTAAAACAAAAGTGGCAATATCATGCGATTGAATCATGACTTCTTTCGAGAACAAATTATTAATAGTTCATATCTTTAAGTAACATAATAACTTTTGTGTTAATATTTTATTTCATTGCTCAATACTGTCTTGCTTCTTACGCTAAAAGTATCAATGCTTTTCATATGCCAGAAACAACATATTCAAAAACATTTTCTTAGCATTAACAAGATACGAATATGATAATCTGCTTATTTTCAACAACAATTTTTGTTTATGTTACATCAGCACGAGTTTCATTGAATTATGTTTAAATCCTAGCATTATAATGAATACTGAAGTTATAAAAATTCGTTTGGTTGAGGTATAAACTTTGGTGTAGCATCTAATTTTAGATGTAATATTCTTAGAAAACCTGTACACATATATATATTCATTACGATTAGCGTACATGAAAAGTATAATTCTTTTCATATGAAATTTTATTAGTAGGATATAGAATCAAAAAATGTAATTAGTATCCATGATTTAATTATTGAAAACGGAAAATGATTCAAAAGTAAAATTCTTTATTAATCTTTGTCTCACATTAATACTTATTTATGTTGTTATGTGTACATTCTTTTGAAAACGAACTACTTTTCGCAAGTTGATAATCTTATAAAAAATGACTAGCAATCCGCATTTTATATTTAAACTAACAAATCCGATATCTATGGATTTGTTGACTAGACGTGTGAGAAAATATTGGAACTATTCTTCAATTTAAAATTTTTTCAAAATTAGATATGTTAAAAAGTAAATAAAATGATAATTATTGTCAATAATAACAGTGGAAATCGAAGCAAATTTTCTATTCAATTCCATCATATTTACTGATATTTCTGTATATAATAACAACAGGGAGCTATAGAGAGAAACAAACAATGAGAATTTGCTTCCTACCAAATGCAAGGAAAGACAAGCAGAAGTAGCGACTACAATCAAGTTAAAAATGACGAATCGCTCATTTTTACTTTTACTGACTTGTTATGACCGGTGAAATATAAAAATCATCTTTTCTTGAACGTGTGGGTATCAGTTCTTTATTTACATCCACACCCTCATAATCATTTCAGGGACTGAATGCATACCAAACAAACAGATAAACACACAAATAGATAAACAGACAAACAGAAAAACAGACAAACATTCTTCTTTATACACATAGATAATAGAAGAAATTTCAAGGTGAATATTCAAATAAGTCTCATACATAATATAATCTAACACAATGCACTTTGAAAATAAGTTCTTCCTCTCTTCATTCCACCTGTCATTATATTTTATTAATATTTCAAAATATTTTTCAGAATGTAGTGAAAATAGATTAGGTGGGTGTAAGAATATAAAAGAACCACATCCACACCCTTGTCTGGCTTTTTTTATTACGTCTGGAGCAAGGCTTTTGATAATTTTATTAATAAGCAAATCTTTCGATGTTCAAATAGAATCCTCGTTTTAAGCCAGCTGCTTCACTCAGTTCCTGTTTACCATTGTCAGTTAAACCACAATTGAGCAACCAAAGCGTATTTAATGATTGGCTCTTTTCGAACATTTCAGTCAGAGACTTGACACTTCGATCAGTTATTCGTTTGTTGTCCTGTAAATAGAGCTTTTGCAGAACTGCAGCTGGATGAGAAAGAGCCGTAGCTAATTTTTCGACACCTGCATCGCCAATTTGATTGTCATTTAAATATAACTCGGTCAGTGTTCGTTTTAATCTGAGCAATCCCACAATATGCTTTACACCATCATCGTCGATGTTATTTTTAGCAAGACTAAGTACTTTGAGTGGACCGCCATCTAATGTCTAAATTCATAGAAAGAAACTTATTTGCAATTAATTTTAGGTATATACTACAATGCCTTTGCCAATAAAACAATGTTATCAGGCTGCAATTTATACGAAAATACTCGTTTCACGGTGGCCTTTTGTTTTCTACGACATAGACTGTCTATTAGCTCAGCAGTTTTAATGATGATATATGTTCCTTCTTACCTTCATGCGTGTTAACCCACAACATTTCCATTGTTCCACGGTGTGCGTTTGAGGAATGGATAGTTCTCCCACCAAGTGAGAAATATCATTACTGGACAATCGACTACCACAAAGATCAACTTCATTCACCGTCGTGCTTTCGCGTATTCCTCTACCAAGCTCTGATATACTTTCGATTGTCATTTCAGCATTGCGTATTTGAATTTGTGGACATTGCTTTTTAATAATGACCTTTTCGACAACATCTCTCATGTCTTCTTTGTTGAGTCGTTGACCTTCGATGACCACTTTAGATCGAAATTGGGTTCGATTAATTTGACGAACAATTTCTGGGTTGCGCGAACTTTCATCAAATACAGAGTCCAAAGGTATATCTATTGGTTGTTTAGTTTTAGGAACATGTACTAGACGTTTCCCTGGTGTACTTAACTTTTGCGATTGAGCTATTGGTGAAGAAAAATTTTGAATTGCTCCTTTTTCAATAAGAGGATATTTTGGTTCAGTTTCCTCCAACTGAATAACGATCAGTCCATCACCCTTGTTCACATTAGACACGACTCGAAACTGTGTAGCAGCGATGAGTAGAACTTCGCTCTCGCTAGGAAATTTCGAATATTCACGCACATCCTTACCAGAATAGCAGTTAATCTCGAAAATCGTTCTTTCACCTTTACTACCGCAGAAAGCGTCCTGTTTGAGTACTTCCTTTGTGGTTGTACAGGATGAAAATGCCCACCAAATAACAGTTTCTCCATTTTGATATTTTGTGGCGAGGTTCATTCTTACTCCTCGATAGAGATTTCTGGAAAACGATGGGATCTTCGCCAAACCAGTAATAATTAATTTCAAATAGAGAAACCAATCTTTTAAAATACTTCGATCTTCAGATCGAAGATTCATGTTCAAAACGTAATAAAGACTTTCTTCTCTTTTTTCCCACTCCATTGTATATAGCCGTATGGAAGCGGACTCGTTTATAGTAAGACCGTGTTGTGATGGATTCTTACTTTTTTCTTTTGCCTCTGATGCGTAACGCAGCACATCAGGAATGTGCTTAGCGAGTGGCTTAACAGCTTCCTCGAGAGGAACCAAGGGCATTTTCTGATAACCTTCAATAGGTGGTAGCATTCGCATAGGCTCATCAGCAATATCACTGAAGCGCAATCGATGTTTAGATAAGTTGTCACTATTGTTGGATGCCATTGAAATGAGTACTTCTAGGAAATGAAAAATCGAAATGAACATTTACAAGTGTTGCGTGTTTATGGAAGGTGTGGGTGAGAATATCAATCCACCGCTGATACCCACACCCACACCCTCAAGATGGTTTTTAAGAGCGTAATTAACAAAAAGAAATACACAGTGAGAAAAAAAATATTCATTACATGAGAATTAGTTGTTGTCTACTTACCTGAATATATAACTTCTCCAGTATGAGGTAACTGAGATGATACTAACAAAATAACGCTCTACTATCTTATCGTACAAATGACAAAACCAACCAACTAATGGAGAAGACACGTTATCAACGTTGTAGTAATGAAAGTGAGATTGGAAATAACCACCTTTAAATTATTTTTTTCAGCGCAAATAAATCAAATAGAGTTTTATTCAAAAGTAAAAGTCAAATATGAATAGTATTATTTCTTAGAATCGCATTGTGTAACGTTACATGACGTGGGAAAGCCATAATTGAAACTTTTTTCTCGATTTGGCTGCTGTTTGTAGTTCTCTTTCACAATCTTCTGTCAAATCACAATGGCGTAAATCGAGTTTTTTCAGTGACTGATTTTGTTTTATCATATCAACCAGTGTATCAATACTATCATCATTGATATCGGTGTTCGCACTTAGATTCAAAACTTCTAGAGCCACATTTCCATGATTAAGGGCATCGGCTAAGACTTTTACACCAGTATTGCCTATTCGGTTTTCGGCCAAAGATAATTGAACCAATTTTACATTTGTTCGGAACATTTCTGCTAGATATCCGGCGCCTTCATCTGAAATATCGTTCTCGGATAGATCAATGCGTTTCAGAGCTGAGCTGTTAATCACCGACACTAAATGCTTAACACCCGAATCCGATATATTATTATGTGAAATATTCAATTCTTCCAAATATTGACTATTATAAATTGCATCCGACAGGATTGAAACACCTCGTGGTGTAAGTTCAGTAGACATCAAATCGAGTATTTTGCATTGTTTATCTATAATTCCCTGATTACTAACTATGCCCATATCTTCATCATTCAATTGTTGTCCACTCAAGTTTAACTTGCGCGATTGACAGTTTTGAATGATTTGTTCGAGTGTTACGTTATGGTAGGATTGAAAATTGTGTGCTTTTATTGGTAATGAAGGTGGTAACGTTTTATTTGATGTAGAAACAGCGCATTGTGAATCGATTTCCTGAATCTGAATCATATTTAAATCATTGCCGACATCTAAAGTTCCGATAACTCTAAATTGACAACCGGGAAGCAATAAAACTTCATTTTCTGTTTTGACCATTGAATGTTTCTGAATATCTTTCCCAGTGCAAGCATCAATAGTAAATATTGTGCGTTTACCAGTTTTGCCTAGAAACAGTTCAGATTTAAGAACATCAATAGAATCCGTACAGGAAGTAAATGACCACCAAAAGAATGTTTTTCCTTGAGGATAATCACCTATCGGATTTTTCTTTATTCCACGATAAAGAAACTGTCGCTGAGATGGTAGTTTTGATAGCGCAGTAGTAGACAACTTCAAATACCAGAACCATGATTTTAAATTAGTTTGATCTTCTGCACGTAGTGTAGAATTGAGAATCGAATAAAACGATTCTTTTTCCGGCTGCCACGGTAGTGTATAGAGCATAATTGCAGCGGATTCATCTGGAGTTAGATTATCTGGTGGATTTTTACAATTAAATCTCACTGTATGCACCATATGTTGAACTCTAGGTACGATCCATTCGAGAGATTCAACGGCCTTTTCAAGTGACACCAACGGAAATTTCTCATAGCCATGAATAGGCGATATACTTGTTAGCGATTTTCCTAGGCTGTCACAGAGACGGAACGCATATGATTTGTCACTAAGTTCGCTTACCATTGTTGTCAGTTTCATCTGCGCATCACTTATATTAGAGAAAGCGAAAAAAAAAATACTTAACTGAGATAAAGTTTGTAGCAGTTTTACTCTTTACATTCTTATCAAGATAAATTTCATATTCTTATACACAACAACGCTTCAACAAGCGAATATAATTTTGTGAGAAAGAAAGAAGACAACACTGCTTTTCAATATTTTAGCGTCCGAAATAAGGTATGTATTTCCACAGATGGTTTTACTCTGATCCCAAATTTACTCTAGATTGATAAGTAGTCAACATGTTCAAGACAACAAAAAGTTTGATTAAACTCGTCGAGAAATCTTCCAGTGAACAGGGCTCTGGAGAACGAGCGAAACATCTTATAAGTCAAGGAGCAGATATCAAAGCTCTAACAAGTAATGGTCCTATGATTCATTGCGTCATTGCTGAAGAAAAACGTCAGCGACTAACAATGCCCTTGGAAGCCGACAACTGTTTACGTTTAATTCAAGTTCTAGAAAAAGCTGCTTCCGATCTACTGAGTGCGCAAGTGTTCTCAGAAAATGGGGCTGATCTTCAAGAAATGCGTTCACTAGTAAACTTGAAAGGAAACTGCTATCAACTAGAGACTTACGGTCCATTGGGTTTATTGGGATCACTAGTCAATCAAGACAAGATTCCCATTCAAGTGAATGTTGTGCAATTTCTGATGGAAAGTGACTTAAATGTGAAAATGGCTTTAATTGCTTTCAACGAGGAAGGAAAAAACTGTTTGTCTCTCGCGAAAACCAATCAAAAGTGTCCAAAGGATGTGATTGATTATATGCAACAACAGCTTGATGAGATTATCAATCAGATTCCATTTACACAACCGCAAATCAATCCAAATCAAGTCATTGCGTGGATTCGTTCAGGTGCAAACATTGAAGCGACTGACAATAATGGTAATACTATTCTTTCCAATGCTGCTAGTACTAATAATTTAGAACTTGTTCGTGCACTTGTCTCAGCCGGCAGTAATACGACACATAAGAACAAGGATGGTCTTACTCCTTTACAAATTGCTAAGAAAACTGTGCCGAGAAATCCTCCATTGGTCGCATATTTAGAAGGACAGAGCGTGAACGTCGAATTAGGAAAACTAATTGAAACAAGAAAGTCTGCATTAACCATGGAGGAAGTACAACGTCTGCTCGAAAATGGAGCGAATATTAATGCGTCCATGACCAATAGTAATTCGGCACTTCATCTATTGATAGCTAATCAAGGAACAACAGATATGGTTAAAACTTTTATTAATGATTTCAATGCTGATTTAGCTGCAATAAATAGTGATGGATATCGACCGATCGAAACATGTATTCTAATTGATAAGAAGCCATATCCTTATCTGCAAACAATATTAACGCTACCAAAAATGACCATAGACAAATTTCGAAATCCGACATTGAATAAAACTCTTCTACAATTTGCTATCGAACGGAAGCGTTCGGACGCAGCACACCTAATACAAAATGAACTTAATCTTCGTTTGTGGAATTGCATAGCACGTGCCAACACCAATGACGACAATAATAAGACTATTGCAGATACAGCCACTCAACTGATCAGCTACGGTGCTCAGATTAATCACCTACACACTGACGAAGAATATGATCAATGGACAGTCCTACATCTAGCAACTAAAGTTACTACAGTAAGAATGCTCCGATACTTGATCAAACAATTGCAAGCGGATAGTATGCTGCAAAATAATCATGGTGACTATTCAATTTCTATTGCGGCTCAATTTGGGCATTTGACAACAGTTGAATATTTACATAGTGTACTAGAGTCAGATTTGAACGTGCGAAATAAAGACATGGAGACACCACTACATTTAGCAACAAAACATAATCATTTACTCGTTGTTCGATATCTTGTCAAATGGGGCGCTGATGATCAAGCTCAAAATTCATTGAAACAAACGCCACTGGACGTAGCACGTCAAAACGTAACCAACGACAAAGAAGAAGGAATTAATAATAAAAAAATTATCGAGTTTCTTGCTCAACTAGTTTGTCCTCGAGTAGATTGTACTGCTGAAGGACCAATAACTCAAAAGAAGCCTACATATAATCTTGACGCATGTGATCTACCGATACCAGTGCCCTTGCAACCCATTAGTATGAATACGTATGATGATGATGCGGCAGTAGGTAATAAAAGTAAAAAGCTTTTCTCCACGAGTCCCAATTTCAATTTGCACGAAGCGGCGAAAAATGGTAATATAATGTTAGCTAGAAAGGCTATCGGTGAAGGAGCAGACATTCGCTATCGTAGCGGAGGCCGTACTCCGCTAGAAGTAGCGCTCATGTCTCAGAATGGATATGGAGAAAAATCGAGAGCTTTAATATACACTGCGATAGATATTCCACGTGGTCAAGTGATGCCAACTGGCTGTCAACAAATTGCTCAGATGATCCAACAGATCGCCTACACAAAGATAGTCGAAGCTATTCAACAATCTAATGCAAGTCTCGTCGTAGCCTATCATCGAGCAGGAGCACCCATTACGACTGATTTACTCTACAAAGCTTGCAGTGCATCAGACAATATTGAAATAGTAGATTATCTTATTGGTCAAAGTTTCGAAATCTATCAGACCATTCTCAATGATGTTTCATCCAATGCTCCGTATCGCCTTGCAAAAGCGAACAAATTCAATCAAATTGCTGCGTATCTTAAGTATCGATTATCAGTTGAATGCACAGAAGCCATAATAGAAAATAATCTCGAGCTAGTCAAAAAATTAGTCAGTGCTGGAGCAAGTGTCGAATTAGAAAACACGAGTAATTTAAATGAAGCTATCCAACATCAAAATCTTGAATTAATTCAATTTCTTTGTGAAAATGGTGCTAATATGCCAAAAGAATGGCTTTCTACAAAAAAAATTCTACTTGATTCAGCTATGTCTCAGCAGTTCACACCTGAGGTTACACAGGTGATTAATCGGTGTTTAATTGAAAAACGATTACGTTTTGCAGCTGCTAATGGTGATCACGATGGAGTACTTCGCTGTCTACGTCTTGGTGTTAATATCAATTCAGCAAATTGTCACGGTTCAACTGCATTATTGTGTACAATACAACATGGAAATTACTTTGCCATTGTTCATGCGTTGGTTTCACGTGGTGCATCGATGTTACACTCTAATGAAAATGCACCAATGTCACTGATCGACCTGGCAACTCAACAAAATTACAAACATATTGCTAATTACCTGTCGAAACAATTGAATACACAATTTTTGTCTACTATTCTCAATAACGATCGACCGAGTGCTGAAAATTTCGCACAGTTAGGTGCTGATTTCAATTACAGAGATGAACAACAACGTACACCATTACATTATGCTGTGCAATACCATGGTATCGATCTAGTAGCTTGGTTGTGCGAATGTGGCAGTGCACCGACTATCTGTGATGTTAATGGTGATTTTCCAATAATACAAGCTACTGAAAAAGGTAATATGAACAAAATTCTTTATACCCATCCAGATCATAAAATATATGTCATGTTTTATTTCTAGGTGACTATGCTGTTGTTGAACTGTTCGTCTTGAAATATCCAGCTACGAGGAAGCAAGTGAACAAAGCTGGTATGACAGCGTTGCAAACTGCACAAAAACTGAAGTTTAACCGTATTGCTCAATTGATCGAAACAGGCAAAGGAGTGCCCGAATCTGAAAATGATCAAAAAACTGACGGACCACTTCACGATGAAACAACACTAATACAAGCAGCACGTAACGGTCACATTAAGATCATTCGTGAATTTATTACTCAACGTTACGAGTCTAAAGAAGAAAAGAAACAGTTATGCTCCAAATTGATTCAAGTAGCAAAAAAAGCTTCCCAATATGAAGTTCTCGATGCTCTTGAACCCTACTACAAAACCGAATTACGAACTGAACTGGCATCGGATATGCACGCCGGTGGTAACATCGTACTGAGCGAACGTTATAAGCAAATTCTATTTGGATTTCTTGGATCGCTGAATAATTTGATTTCTGGAAACTCTGTCCTGCTCGATCCTGCAGATCCTAATACTTATAAAGAATTTTTCGTTGGTTTGACTGACAACGTGGCGAAACGTAGAAAAGAACTCGAACAGATCAAAACTGAGCAAGATGTGAATAAACTCATTCAGCAAGATGAACTTCATACGAAAGAACAACTGAGCAAAATTCAAGAGCAATTAGAAGAATTATTTGAGGGCAAAGATAACTTACAAGCTCGACTACTTGATACCGATGACAGATTATTCAAAGAGCAAAAACTTACAGCATCACAACGTAAAGAATTTCTTAAAGAAAAAGAGCTTCACGAACAACAATTGGCTACTTATGAATGTTCAATATTTTTATTCCAACGGCAACAAGAAGCGACTTTAAATCGACAAAAAGCCGTCGATTTTCTTAAAAGCAACATAAATTTGATGATGTTCTACCGAACGATAGAAAATTGTTTAGAAGCTTTATTTCACAGCTGTCTGGCGGCACAAGGGGGTTACGTTAGAGTCGAACAGACGACAAAATTTGGTACGGCAGCAAAAATAGTGAATACACTTCAAAGGAACATTCCGATAAGTAAGTACTAATATTTGAATGTATCTATTCTTTATGATGAGAACTAAACTAAGAAAAGCTTTGATATTCTTCTAGTAAATCTACAGACAACCATTACCAAAGGACTGCTTAGTCCTGTACTATCGAAGCTCGATGAACGGCAACAGAAAAAAGAATTTCATAATATATCAACATTGGGAAATATTGAAGAGTTGAGACGTATTGCATCGGAAACAGCCGGTCTAGTCACACTTTACTACAATGAACAAATACAATCGATTGATACATCACAAAAAATTCAAGGTAGCAATATGTTCAACGAACAATTACATTGGCTTAAACAAATTTACGATGTCCGTCCGGAAACTTCTGAAGAGATGACTGTTGTTATGGTTGCCGAGTATGTTACCGCTTGGATAATTGATGGTCTAAAAGTAGGCACAAGCATTATTCCTACTGAGCCTATACCACCACAACTATGGTTGCATGTTGCAAAGAAAGATCCTACTGATCTGGGAAAAATAAATAAAATAACAGATACTGTCGGACTTTCGGCAGGACGACAGAAGATTCCTGTAAAAGTCAGAAATGCTTTTGGAAAAGAAATTACTATTAAAATACAGCTTCGATATCTGATCGGCTGTGTTTCGGTTGTGGGTAACGATGGAAGTATCTATCAGTATCCCGTATCACGAAATAACACCGATGACGAATTGATGGAACTAGAATATTTCGGCTATGTATATGTTACACCTTTTTCATCAGACCAGAAATCTTTACAATCGATCGTCGAGGACAGAAAATTGCATCTTGCCAAACGAGACAACCACGGTAATATTCTTACCAGATTTCAGGACATTATTCAACATGCACAAACATTCATCAACCATCACGAACAACAGCAAGCTAGTAAATCATTGCTTACACGAGAAACAGCAAAGAAAGTAGCTGAGGTACTTCGTGAGGAGAGAATATTTGTCGATGCCAATGCTGTGAAAGATCAGTTAAAAAAAGCACAAGAAAAAATTGAAGTAAGCGTCGATGTTTTGCGTGAACAAATAGAAGAAAAAGCGTCCTACTATCAAGTATCGATCGATGCCGCGCATGAACAAATCACGAAAGAATCAGAAGCAAATCGAGTGACAATGAAAAAAGACAATGAATTGCGATACGATCAAGCCTTGAAAAAATTAAATCAGCACTCCGAAGAGATCGAAAAACGACTTGAGAAGTTCATCGAGCAACGCATGAATGATATCGAACAACAATTACAACAAGAAGCCAAAAGAATTCTTTCCATCGCTGAGACAGCGAAAGCTGAGTCGACGAAAGCGATGGCACAAGCTCGGCAAGCAAATGAAACAAGTCGTCAAGCTACCGAAAATGCTGCAAAAGCTGCAAAGTCAGCCGAAAGTCTCGTTAAATGGTCGCAAGAACGTAACGAAGAGTTTCAACGTAGTATGAAGAATTGTGAGGAGATGGTTCAGAAAACTGCTCTTGCTCAGAAACAGGCGTGCGAAGAAGCAATCACGGGTATACGTACAAAGTTCGAAAGTGATATGGAACGAGCACGAGAAGCAGTCAGTAAATCGGCTGAAAATGCTAAAGAATCGACGCGACTTACTCGACAGTCAGAATCAACCATGCAAGATGTGCAGAAGATGATGAAAAATCAAGTAGAAGTCCACAAGACCGAAGTGAAGAAGATCCTCGCCGAAGCGAAAGAGTCACGACAAGAGAGTGAACGAGCTGCAAACGAAGCTAAAGAAGCACAAAAACAAGCAACACGAGCAGCTGAAACAAGCACTGCAGCAATAGAGAAGACGAATGCGATCCAAACTAAAATGGAGAAAACTATTCAACAAGTGGAAAAATTAAGAAAAAAATTACCTGCTTCACCATTTCTATCATCAGTAATAGCAATTGATGACAACTCTTTTTAATCCGTTGGATCGACTAGTTTTTATTTATTATTATTTTTCGTTTATGTGATTATTTTGACAGTGTTAGTCTAAAATGTCTTTGTATAGTATGTTTCAGGACGAAGAGTGGCGTATGTTTGTGTATGTGAGTGTAGATGAGATGAACAAAGGTACATTGACACTCACCCTCACTCACATTAAGATAAAGAAGAATTCTAGTTACACCTATACACTCGGATTCTGCAATTTTCGACGCATTTTAATAACTAGTTTATATTGGAAACCAATGTATATGATAAATTTAATTTATTAAAAGATGTATACCATACAAACATCAAAAGCCAAGAAAACATGTCACAACAACTAAGAACAGTTTGATGAAATAAGAAATGCATTCAGACACATCTCATTTTTTTTGTTCAATGTTTAAATACTCATTCAATATTGAATTCAACGACATTTACAATAATATATACACAAGATATTAACAACCGACTAATTACGAGATGTTTGTCTTTCTTTCCTTTTTGTGCGTGTAACGAGTGCTGCGAAAGTTTCTTGGGCAGATGTTGAATTGTTTTCCTTTCTCTTGTTTAAATGGATTTTCAAATAATAAGAGCAAGTAGCAAACTGCAGTCAGAATTTTTTTTCTGCGTCTTCTCTTAATCAAGTGAAAGTCAATCTTTGAAATGCATCAATCTTTTGGGAATAACTAGAAAATAAAAGCTCATTTTCGTTAAGAAAACACGCTTTGCTTATCGATCGTCAACAGAAGTCAGACATGTCATTTTCGTCCTGAGTTTTACACCGAACATCGATCGGAAACTTTATTGTTACTGTCTTCGTTACATCAAACAGTGCACAGAAAAACAAAATGGTTAGTTGAAATCTTCTGAAGTCAGGAGTTGCCGAAACAAGTAAATTTTAATTCTTTTATCAGAATTGATAAATAGTGTTTGTCCTAAATTTTGCAATTGATTTTCAAGCGACGATAGCGTTTGCTTGTCCAGCAAAGATAGTTCGTAGTCATCTGGTAGTTTCAAATCGAGCAGTGATATTTGAGGCAGATGTTGAAATAGGTAAAAGAGAAAATCTTCATTTATATTGAAACATGTCAATTGGTTGATCGATGAAAACATTTGACAGAATGTCTTCACGTCATGTAAACTATTGAATGCCATCTCCTTAGTGTTATAAAAGGTGATTTCTAATTTCTTGATAGTTGTAGTCAAATGTTGACATAATTTCGAATTCAAAAATAGACTTTGGAAATAACCTGCTTCGATTTTTAATGATGAGATGAGTGGTGCTTCTTGGAAGATTTCAAGTAATCTAGATGGTTCAATTAGTTTGTTTGAAATGTACATATATGTCAGCTGAGATAAGTTAATGATCATTTTCAGAGATTCGATATGTTGTCTTTCCATTAGTAACTTTTCCTTCTGATACCATGGCCTAAACAGAATAACTGATGTGACACGAGGAAAACGCTCTTGACAGGCTTCAGTGAGTGCATTGGGGTTCACTTCTAAATCAGTGACACGATTGTATTTATCCACATGATTGATCGATGGATGTGAGTATTTGTAAATCGACGATTGTAAACTATAACTTTCAAATATGTATGGAATTGTATAAATCATCGCCGAGTCGTCCGCGATAGAATATTCCGTATACCAATGATGTTCTTCAATCCAAAACTTATCTTGAAATTCTTCAAACCACATCTGAACTGGCCAAAATTTTGTGCTACCATAGTATGACAAGTGAAACTTGAAAGTATGTAAGCAAGGTAAGTACGACTTGATCAACTTTTCCCATTGATAAGCACGAATGGGATTGTCGGAAAAGAACATCTCTATTTTTAAGGTTGTTAAGTTTGGAGTTTGTTGGAATATATCTCCAATGCCACCACTGTTAGAATAATAGTATTCGATCGTTAACTGTTCCAGATGCATGGCAGCATTTCTGAGAGAAGATTGGTCCGAAATCTCTTCGCTTTCAAAGAGGTCCTCATCCCACTCTTCTAATTTGAGATGTCGCAATTGTGATGCTTTTTCTAACATTGGAATTAAATTGACCAACTTGGCAGAAAAGACTGTTAGATGAGTAATAGACGATAATTTAGTAATGACTTTTACATCTGCAGGCAACTTGGGTATTGTTAATACTATTAATTCGGTCATCGGTAGGAGAAGCAGAATCTGATCGACTTGTTTATCACAGTCAGTGTAGTGAAACGAGGTTAATTGAGATAAAAATGGTAAAACCGATTTGAGCAATTCTAGATTGTTTTCCGTCACTTCGGTTAAAGTCACTGATCGAAGATCAGTCAACTGAGCCGATGAAATACGTGAAAGAAATGGTTGAATTTGCCAAGATGCATTTGTATTCGATAAATGTAATGAGTGAATTTGTTTGGAGAACTGCTCGTTCGAGAAGATGATCATATAGAATCGATCAAACATCGTTTTATCCATATTTTCGAAATTAAGATGTAGTGGAATGTTTCTAATAAGTTGTTCAAAACGATAATTCAATTGTGTGAACGAAGAAAGAATATCGAACGAATTCAGATATTCGAAACATTCGATCAACACTTCATTTGGTAACAATTCCAACTTCATCGTTTTCTGTTTGTCGACGAAAACTTCCATTTTTGATTCAACTAATGTCACAGGTTATCGATGAGCGATAGGATGATGATGTTTTTTATATAATGACAATTGCTAAGTGCGTCGATTATTCTCAGTTGCGTAAAATACGCATCCACTAGGGATATATCTTTCTTTTTTATTTCGACGTTACATATGATAATATACTAATGAGACATTAGCAAAAAAATAGAACGATAAAATACCACGTGTCATATAAAGACAATGCGTTATTATCTTTTCTCTCGCTTGGGTAGATATTTTCCAATACCATATGAAAAGAAGAAAAAAGAAACGAAACAAACGTATTCTCAATCGTTTATTGGTCAATTCGTAAGAAATAATGATGTTGCTCGATAGAGGACTCCTTAGGACGATGATTCTTGATATATCTTAGATTTTTACGTTGTAAATTAATTTTCTAAAACTACAGATAAAATGTGCAACAGAGGTCTTTTTCCAACAGAGACATTGCACTGAAGAACACTAATAAACAATTCGGAAGGAATCAAATATAATATGCGCATTTTCAAATGCGCTACTGTATTTCGATACTTATTTATGATTGCAAATGTCCTCTCGTCGCTTCTCAACATTCACAAATATTCATCTGAACATGCAGTGATAAATTTCGATTTTCAATAAATTGATAAAATGACTGTGAGTGTGAATGTATCTAATAATATTCACACTCATACCCTCACCCACACCCACACATCATGAAAATCATAAAAGAATCAAAAATACTGAATTACGAACACAAAAATAATCATGGTCAAAACACTTTAAGAAATAAAGTATGTGGATAAATATTCGCTACATAACCAATTCTCTGTCAAACATAGGAATAAGAATTGGAGCGTCGCTTGCGATATTTATTCGATTAGCGGAAGAATCGATTCGGTTTTCCATAAAGCTAGACAAAGTATGTGTTGTTTTCTTCATCGCGAGAATTGTTCGAATTAAAATCTTGCCGAGCGATGCCTGTAGCCGATTAGATGAAATTAATAGTTGTAAGTTGTTTATTAATTCATGGGAATTGACATGTTTTGATGGATGATTAGAGGAAATAGATAGATGATGCATTTCAATCGTTTTTTCGAAATATGAGCGTGCTCTCGAATATACGCCTAATAAATAATAAGCTAAGCCAATGTTCATATAGATCGATTCTAAGAATGGATAATTAGATGAACGAGATTGCTGACAAATGTCAAGCGCTTTTTCACAATGCAAAAGTGCTGTTGAATACTGTCCCATCAAGAGAAATTGAATGCCATTATTATGGTAGATCATAGCTAGAGTAGGATGAGTTGGTGATAACGAGTTTTGCGCAGCTTCAAGTCCATTTTTAAAACATGATTGGGCTAGAGAATATTTTCCTCTAATCATATAAAGTAAACCATTATTAATGTATGTGGTATACATGATCGAATAACTGGATGGAAGCTTTTTTTCACAGATTTCCAGTACCTTCTCATAGTGTAAATGTGCACCTGAGTATTGTTTCATTAACTGATACACTGTAGCAATATTATTATAGATAACAGTTAATTCAATATGATCTGGTGCAAGTAGTTTGCACTTAATTTCAAGTGCTTTTTTGTAAAATAACAGTGATGTTGAATATTCCTTTATTAGTTGATACACTGCAGCAATGCTGCTATAGATAATAGCTAGTTTGTCATGACCTGATGGAAATAATCCCTGAAGAATTTCGAGTGCTTTTCCATAATATAAAAGGGCTGTTGGATATTCTTTTGTGGATTGATATATAAGAGCAATTTCATAGTAAATTGTAGCTACACTCATATCAGAGATTGAAAGACATGTTTGGGCTATTTCAAGTCCTTTTTTGAGAGATAATATAGCGGTAGAATACGCTTCCATATTGTAATATATAAGACCAATTTTGATGTATATTTTGATCACTTTAGAAACATTGCACGGAAGTATTATCTGATGAATGTTCAATTCTTTTTCATAATACATAAGAGCTAGGGAATATTTTCCTGTTGTATCGTACAGTAGCCCAATGTTATGATAAAACGTAGCCCAATCAGGGTGATCACACGGAAAAGATCTCTGTGCTATTTGAAGTGTTTTCTCATAGTATGAAAGTGCTCTTGAATATTCTTCCACAATGTGATATATTGAACCAATATTATTGTAAACAATGGCTAACGATGGATGGCTGCATGGAAGACATTTTTGAGAAATTTCAAGTGATTTTTCGTAAAATGAAAGTGCTGTCGAATAGTTTTTCATTGATTGAAACATAACACCAGAACTACAGTATATAAAGACCAGTCTTGGATGATTAGATGGTGAAGCCTTCTCTTCAGCTTCAAGTAGTCTGTATGCCAATGCTAATTGTTTTTGTTCTGAATCATCTGTTACGGTGGTATTTGTAAAAATCTGGCATATTATGTCATCACTGAAGGGAAAAGCCTCAGGACAAATGCTATATAGTTTTTGGTAATATAAGAATGCTTTCTCGTAATTATTTTTCACAATATTTATGTAGCATAATCGCATGTTTGTGTTACAGATCTCTCTCTGATTGATGTTGGTGTTTGTGTTTAATACTTGCTCATAAATCCCTTCGGCTGTATTATACTGTCCCATGTACCACATCAAGTTGCCCAAGCAATGTAGTGGTGTGTTTCCTGCAATTGTATTTCGTATACATTCCATGACGTGTATCAAAACGGGATCGTTGTCATTTGTCAATGCTAAATTAACTTGCCACAATCGATCTTCAATTTCTGTTACTTCGACAATTCGAAAGACTGTATGCATGGAAAAAAGAATTTCACTTTCTGCATCAGCAAAATAACTGAAATCTTCGACAGAAGCAAAAGGAGCTGATGATATTGTACGATCAATTTCTATATAGAATAGAATTCCAACTAATTGAGAATTTTGTCGAGCACTATCGGCATAAAGATGACCCACTTGAGAATCAAAACTTGTTGAGAGAAAATTATTGAATGAAAAAAGACCTCCTTTACTTCGTTTTATCTTATCGAATTCGTCTTGTGTGACACCTTGTCCACGAAAAACAGTTTTAATATCATTATTACTTGCTGTTAAATATAAGTGCTGGATTTGATCATGAAGATCATGAAGAAAGAAGCCCATTTTCATTATCATTTCATTATTCTGCGTTCGTAATGCTTTATTTAACATCCAATGTAAAAAACAATCTCGAGTATACCACCAAATAGCTGTTGAAGATTCATATTTTTGTTCGAATTCATCAATTATTCTCAATTGGGCATTATTTTCAGCATAATGCGAACGAGCAAAAGAAATCAACTCTGCTTTTGCATCGTTCGTATATGGCATATCAAGAATAATTTCTTTTAATAATTGTGAATACATAAATGATTGGTCAAGTTCATTAGCATTAATTGAAGTCGATGAGGAAATGATACTAATTGGTGTTAGATTATAATTTAACTGACGAACATTGTGTTGCAATGTATTACACATTGTTTCAATATTAGTAAATACTCCTTTCACTTTTTGATAGTGTTGAATCCATTGTCTATAATACGAATTCTCATTCGAGAATAGATACATGGAATCAATTTCATTTAATTCTTGAAAAATAGAAACAAATTGCTGGAATATTCTACCAGAGATGATTAGGAATACCTTTCCATCGGTAATATCAGTAATAAAGTCAATACAGTCATCCAGATTATGAATTATTTTAATTGAATTGGTAATGGTTTGAAGACGAGTAATGTAAATTTGAATGTTATCGTTCAAGGTCAATGGACGAATATTCAAATCTAACCAAACGAGAATAAAATTACCATTTATATGAGATCCTCGATCGTCTATTGAAACATATTGGTTTGTGATACATGCTTGGTCATATGATGTATCTAAAGATGTTGGTGCATTTGTTACTTGAGTAGCATCATATTCCGTAATTCTCGGTGTTGAATTATTCACTATGGTTAACGGTGTAACAGATACTTTTGAACAGAGAGATCCCATTCTCTAATTATTGATATGAAATGCTATTCTTTTATACTAACCTTTTGTCTGCTACGATTCTCATTTGTTTGTTGAAATGAAAAACTGACTTGAGGTTGGTATCTTTTTCACAACATTTTTCTTCTTTTTCTTTGAAAACAAATATACTTTATCAGTCTTATCAGTCGTTTACTTGTCCTATGAAGAAAAAGGCGACAACAGATCAGAAATGTGCAAATATAAATATAATTTAAGGATGTGGCTGTGAGTGCGATGGAATCACTAATTCTTTTACAAGCATACCTTCACCCACATCCACACCCTCAAAGGGAGTACGTTTTACAATAGATCATTATTCTTGCATTCAGACAAAATCATTAGACAAAGGAGCAAACCAACTGTTTATTAGTGCTAATGATATTATTGAGAAATGAATTAATTGAAAAATAAGTAAATAAAACATTTTTTATAATTTCTTTTTTACAATTTCAATACTCTTTTGCACAGTTTTTATATGAGGATGAGTTGGAGATAATGCACGTTGCCATATGTTCAGAGCACGTTCATAATATGCAAGTGCTTTCGAATAGTATTTCATATTTTCATACACAAAACCCATGTTGTTGTACGAAGTAGCTAATGAAGGATGATTTGAAGGTAGAGTTTTTTCTTGAATTTCAAGTGCTGTTTTATAATAAGAAAGTGCTTTCGAGTATTCTTCCATGTTTTCATACACCAAAGCAATGTTATTGTATGAAGTAACCAAATGTGGATGATTTGAAGGAAGAGTTTTTTCTTGAATTTCCAGTGCTTTTTCATAAAATGAAAGTGCTTTCGCATATTCTTCCATATTTTTATACACCGAACCGATGTTATTGTATGATTGTGCGATATCTGGATGATTTGAAGGAAGAGTTTTTTGTCGAATCTCCAGTGCTTTTTCGTGAGATAAAAGTGCTTTTTCGTACTCTCCCATGTTCTTATACATTGCACCAATGTTGTTGTATGAAGTAGCCAAAGAAGGATGATTTGAAGGAAGAGTTTTTTGTCGAATCTCCAGTGCTTTTTCGTAAAATGAAAGCGCTTTCGAGTACTCTCTCATATTCATATAAACATTACCGATGTTGTTGTATGACTGCGCGAAATCAGGATGGTTTGAAGGAAGAGTTTTTTGAAGAAGTTCGAGTGTTTTCTCGTAAAATGAAAGTGCTTTCGGGTAGTTTCCCATGTTGTCATACACCAAAGCGATGTTATTGTATGAAGTAGCCAAATGAGGATGATTTGTAGGAGTTTTTTGATCAATTTCAAGTGCTTTTTCGTAAAATGAGAGTGCTTTTGAGTACTCTTTCATGTTTTTATACACCGCACCGACGTTGTTGTATGTAGTAGCCAAATGAGAATAATTTAAAGGAAGAGATGTTTCTTGTATTTTAAGTGCTTGTTCATAATACCAAATAGCTTTTTCATAATCACCCTGATTATCTTTGACATATCCCAATTGATTGTAATAAAGCGCTTTTCCACTCTCGTCAGATGTCTGTTCAAGTAGTACGCTATAAAGGTCTTCAGCTTTATTAAATTGACCAATTTTAAGCAATAATTTGCCCATTCTTTGCCATCCAGTACCATCCGCTTCCTTTCGTATCCAATCAGTAAGTGATCGTAATTGTTGATCATCATCCGACGTTAATTGTAATTCAACTTGATACAGTTGATTCTTCTTGTTCATTTGTTTAATTGCATTCACTCGAAAAACGGTGTGCATTGAGAAGAGCATTTCTTCTTCTTCCTTAAAATAACTCACCTCGCAGATGGAGGCAAATGGTGCTGATTTTAAACAAGGATCAATGGACATTATAAAGAGAATGCCCACCATATCTGGTTTGTTTGAAGCATCTTGGGCAAAACGGTGGGATACATCTTTAGTTTTACTGGTAGACAAGAAATTGTTAAATGACATAAGTCCACCTTTTGTTTTCTGAAGTTTTTCGAAGTCTGATTTCTTAAGACCTTGTCCTCGATAAACTACAAACGACTTTCTTCCATAGCTACTAACCTGTTGTTTGTACAGCTGTTGAATTTGTTTATGTATATCACATAGAAAAAAGCCCATATTAATGATTATATCGGCATCCAGAATTCGAAGTGCTTGATTGAGCATTTTGTAGGTAAAACACTCACGTGTATACCACCATATTGCTCGTTCTGGAAGGTAATCATGTTCGAATTCATTAATAACTTGTAATTCAATTGGATTATCATTAAAAATCTCGCGGCACCGAGTTGCTAAGTTCCTGATTGCCTTGTGATCATATTCGGTATCAAGGAGAATTTCCTTGAATAGTTGGGTATACATAAAAGTTGATTCCAATTGATTTAAATTATCAGTTGAAGCCATTTCATTTATCATGAGAAAACTTATGGCAATTGAGTCTTGGTCGCATTGCTTGACAGCCAATTGCAATGCCTGACAGACCTCTTCAATATTTGTATGGACACCTTTGATTTTTGTCCAGTTTTGAGCCCACTCTTGATGTTTAGATTTGTTGCCACAAAAGAGGTAAATGGCATCTAGCTGTGGCATTCCATGAATTTCAGGAACTAAATGTTGACCTAACAAGCCTGATGTTATGACGAAGGCTCTTTCACTGCCAACCTGATTGAGTGTTTGGATACACTGATTCATTTCAGTGCATAGGTTGACGTCATTGATCACGTTCTTCAATTGAGCTAGTGTATTTTGACAGTCCTTGTTTGTTTGATCGATGTTGGCATCTACCCATACAAGAAAGTAGTTTTGTGTCACTCGTTGTCGCGATTGACGAATATTGAATGATGCCGTTGATTTTGATATTGTTGTAAGATTTTCTTTCGATTTTTGTGCGCCCATGCCGCTTTGATAGAAAATTTTACAAATAATGTTATGCAGAGCAAACAAATTTGTTGGTAATGTTCTCGAAAGAACGAACAAAATAGAAGCCAACAATCGAATTTATTTTATTATTATTCTATCCTGCTTTTTCTTTCCTCTGTCCACATCATTACTACAGTTTGCCAATGTGTAGGTAACATTCTTTTTCATCGTACAGTGCTAGAAAAAAAATACAACTCATTAAGTGCTTTCGTTTTTCTCCTACATTCTTTGTCAAACAGCACATTAATGTTTGTTGACGGTATAAAATTTATTATGACAAAACTAACGAAAAAAGCTTTCTGAAATTTTATGTTATTATATTAAATTTTTCACTAATGTCGAATCATTTTTAAGTGTATGTAATAAATGAAAACAAGATTGAATGAAAAAATCATTGGGATCATCTGAATTATGTAAATCTTCAATGATACTCATAGTTAATTTAAATCGAACCATTATATCGAGAATATTAATTTCTTCGATGGATAATTGTACTTTTTGTTGATATCCATTTAAAAATAGTTTTGCTCGATGTTTTCCATTTTGTTGATCAATTAATAAATGAAAAAGAGATGTTGCTAAATCAGCTATAAATACTGTTTGACATGCATCAACAAAATCAATAATAAATATTTTTTTATCATTTCTCATTATTGAATTATTTGTATGAAAATCATTATGAATAAGACCACGTTCAAAATTTTCATTTAAATTAATCAAATTTTGTTTACATTCCAACAAATTCGATAAAAGAAAAGTATCAACAGTAGAAATAGCTTGTTTTTCCCACCATTGATTTGTAAATTCTTCATATTCTTGTTTTATATTATTATTAGATAAATAATTTTTCGAAGCTAATCTCCATTGTCTTAAAAGATAACCCATATGATATAAATAATTATCATCTTTATCAAGTATTTCCTTAGTTGGTTCTATTCCTTGAATAAATGTTTGAACAAAAAACAATCGATTATTATCTTTAAGAAGAATTTGTTCATTATTAGATAGAATTATTTGAGCACGGATATTCATATAAATCATGTAGAATATTTTGAAATTTTAAAATTGATTCGAGATATTCAAAACTATGACAATATACAATATATTTAATAATATATTCGATTTTATTAGTTGTAACTAATAAATATGTTTCATCAGGATAATAACCACCTTCTAATACAATTAGTTTATCTATAGTTAAACTATAATTATTAGTAAGAATGTTTACAATTCTATCTTCCATAATAATCTACAAGAAAAATTTATTAGAAACAATGATTTTGTTTGTAAATGCGATTTCGTTATGAAATATGTTTATTTTGTAATTAGTAACGAAAACAAGATTACACATCAATTGTATCTTCTTTATCTGACTGATGAGGAATAGTTTTTAAAGCTAAGTTTGTTTCAAAAAGAGTTTGAATTGTATTATTACGAACTGCACGAAGATATTCACCATGAAAAATCTAATTAAATATAAATAAGAAATATTTGATTCAAGAAAAAAAAGACACAAACCGGTAAGACTTGATAATTAGTTTTTACAATAAGTCTATATCTCATTGATGTATGTGCACTAAAAATACGAATTGAAGATCCATCTGATCTTTGTTGTCTAATTAACATTGAATTTAATATTGGAAGAATAGCAATTCTATATACAAATTTAAATATTTTGTTTCTATTATGAAAAAAATTTCTTTATTAACTAACCTTTGTTTTGTATTAATACCAATGACTCGTAATTGATCTGTATCTGGTAAATTTACTTCTAAAACTAAAATAAAAAGATTTGAAATTTTTATTCTTGAATAAATTCTTGAAATATTTACAATCAAAAAGTATATAAGGATAATTTTCATCTGTATTAATTATTTTACATGTATTTTCACCATAAATTTGATTAAATTCTTGTTTTAAATCGTTTAAAAATCGATTATATGTTTTCTGTTGTGCTCGAATTGATGTTCGATATTGATCAGAAATCTAATTTTAAATCTAATTAATAGAAAAATAATTCTATAAAAAAAATTTTGTTACTTTTTTAGCAAAAGAAAGCATTTCAGAATTGAGTAAAGGTGTATCAAATGAAGGTCGATCAATAGATAATGCATAATGAATATCAAATAGTTGACGTTGAATTGATTTTGTATAAACACCCAAATCTCCTAAAATAATCTTATATAAACAATCGAAATATTCGAATAATAACTTACGAAAAAGAAGTGGAAAAAATTTATGTTGAAGAGTAGAAAAAAGAAGTCGATAATTATAAATATTTGAAAGCATCATTCCATGTTGTGCTTGAACAATCCATTGTGGAAATATTTTTTCTTTTTCAATATTATCATTTAATTTTCGACTTAATTCAACAATAGTTGAACGACTTTCAAATCGATTTGTTGGATCATTTAAACATAAATAATAAATTAAACGAGAACATAATTTAACATCTGATAAAACACGTCCTTCTAAATTCGATTTTTTTAAGTAATTTTGAATTTTTTCACAAATTTCTCTTTGAAATAATTCATGTGAATAATTATATGAAGATATTAAAATAAGTAATTGACAAATAGAATTGAAATTATCTTGATGAATTCCAATTTCAATTAAATATTCATTTAATAATGAGAGAATTTCAGTTGAATTTTGATTTGGCGAAGAATGTTGAATTAATATTAAATATTTAATTATTGATAATGAACAAGATCTTTGTTTATAAAGATATTTTAAAAGATTAGAAGACCATAAATCAATAGATGATGATGATGATGTAGGTATTTCAATAATTGAATGAAGTGCTAAACATAATTGATTAACTAATAATAATGTTGAAGATTGATCATCAGATAGAATTATTGAATATAAGGAATTTGTTAAATAATTAACAATAGATGTTGATGATAATATAGATTTAACATTCGATAATGAATTATAAGATGAAAGAGAATAAACAAAAAATGTTAATTCACTTATTAATGATAATGAACTAAAATAGATTCAAAATTATATTTTAGAGATTCGTTTTTTATTTAACAAACTTTTTATTTAAATTATTTTGATCTTTTGTAAGATTAATAATTGAATTTAAAATCTCTTTTAAAGCAATATCAATATCATATGTAATAAATCGATATATAAATGATATTTCTAAATAACGAATATATCGAAGAAGAATAATTAATTGTTCATTAATATTATTTTCTTTGAAATCTCCAGTTTGCTTTTTTCTATCATCTTCTAATTGAATAAATTTTGAATTAAATTTTGATGAATTTAATTGATAAATTTCTTTTGTTGATGTTGCTATTTGTGTTGAAGGATATTCTGAATGAATTTTATTTAATGAATTATAAAGCCATGTGGAAAATGATGATGATTCATTTTTCTTAGTTGTTTTTAATATTTCTTGAATATTTTGACTTGATTCAACTAAATCAGATTTACTTATTGATAAATAACGAGAATTTATTAATAAATATTTATTTACTGATTTAACATAACGACAAATATTTAACATCTAAAATTTTATATATGTAAGATAACAATAAAATATTCATTTCTGTTAAAGAGAGACATCTTTTCTTATATTCGTTATATATATTTCAGTTTGATATGCTGAATATAGTAAACGAATTTATTATTTGATAGAAAATAACAACTGATTTATTCTAGAGGATTTATTCGAATAAAATGACTTGTAAATTATTTTATCCAATCTTCTTTTTTTTATTTTAATAAAATCATATATTATACATCTATTACCATTCATAAAAACTAGAATTTAAATTAAAATGAAATTATTTTATTTCTTATCAACATGAATATAACTTCAAGATATGTAGGACTATTGGAAATCGTGAAAATAACAATCGAAATTTCTATTTTTTAATTTATATTCATATGATGTTCGAACGATCGACATATATTTTGTATCTTATTCTATTTATAAATCAATTTTATTTTATACTTTCTCTATTTTTTTCATCGAAATAATTAATGCAAGGATTTTCTAAGATATTATAAAGTAAATATTTGTTTCAGGATATATTAGTCATTGATTGAGACATGTAGAAATTAAAATAATCATACAAATTTTAAAGTATATCTACTATTTTAAATAAAAGTTCAGTTTACATAACTTTTAACCAAAAATCACAACAGTGAATACGATAATATAACTGATGAAGAGTGAAATTGTCGTTTATTATAATAGCAAATAATATATCAATTAACTGAATTGCATAAAAAATATTGAAGGGTACTATTATCGTTTAATTATTCTAGAGTGTGATCGGAGAACTCTAGTTATACTAGTTTGATTCATGTTTTTCATTCGAATGACATTGCAAACATTTTGATAGGTTGATTTGATTTCCTTAAGGAATTCTCTGAAGTTTGTTGAGAGATTTACGTTTTTAAGTATCAAGGAAAGTTGTAGTGGAATTGATCGTGTAGAAGGTCGAGTATATGTTAAACCAAGAATTCAGAATGATCAACTGTTCTTCACAAATAATAATAAATCACATTCCTCAATGGAATATTTTGTTGATGATTTACGATAACCAATTAGTTTCAATTCAAGTTGTTTGTTGTTTTTGAAAAAGTTACACAGTTCATCAGCAATTTTTTGTTTATTAATATGTGTTGTTGGCAATCGAAATTGAGCGAACGATTTAGCTTCATTGATTAACAGTAAGTTCTTGATTAGATAATGGTAATTAAAAAGGAGTGTTTGCAGCTGTAGTTGACCTTGTGTTAACATTTGTGTTTTGATTATTGAGAAGAATTTGATCTGCTGATCATTTAACTGATGATTTATTCATATATTGCTCATTGATGTTGTTGTTATTATTTTTGTTTTCTTTTCTTATGATTATTATTATAAATCATTTTTGTGTTAGGATCATGTTCGAAATCATCTAGATCTGATAGACTATTATCTGATGATTGTTCATTGATTGACGTTCAGTTAAAATATTTCTCAAGTAAATATGCTTTCAAATATTTATCGTCAACATACAGAACGAATAACATTTTTAAAACAAAAACAAGGTTATTTTATTAAAATAATAAATTTTGGAAATATTTTTTTAATTTTTATTTTGTAGAAAAGAAAAAAAAAGAATTACTGTCATCAGTTGATCATTTAACATATGTGGTTCTCGATGGATTGAATGATGAGTAAATTATTCTTTGTCTAAAAATAAAAAAAAGAAATTCGATTTTATTAGAGTATCAGAATGTTATAAAAATGAAAAACGTATTGATCAAGCATGTAAACATATAAATACACAATCAAATCTTCTTTTAAAACAATCTCAAGCATGGATTAATCTTATTGGACAATTTACTGTTGCACTTAAAGTTCGATTTTTTTTCTTTGTTTCCGGAATTAAATTATATATATTTGATTTTTGTAGGAATTAGGTGATGTAAAGAATTATTCGAAAATAATTAAACGCGAATGTGCAACTATAACAAATACATTAGCAACTGTTCATCAAGATATGATTGTACAACAACAAAGTAAAATTTTATAAACAATATTTTTTTTTGAATTTTACTCATTTTATTTCATTTTAATTAGATCGACAGACTGATAATAATATTTCGGAAAACTCAACGAATTCATCTTAACTATTCGCTATTTTCTGTATATTTATTCCTTTTTATTAAATAAACATTAACAAAAAAAGAGATAATATATCATTAGCTTGAAATATAAAAATTATTATTCTATAAAATCTACTTTAAAATCGATTATATCTTTGCAAAATACTTTCAAACATCTGTAATACAATGTTCGAAGGACATCGTTAGCTACTCAACTGAAGAAACTCATGTTATGCATTACGCTAAATAAAAGAAAAATGAACTCAACAATTGTGCAAGAGTAACCTCTTTAGACTTCAATAACAATGGCTGATTATTTATGACAAATGAGAAGATAAAATACAATAAAGAGTATATGACAAGTTTATGAAATATTACAAGCTGATGATCTTTGTGTATTAACTGGTGTATACAATTGATTAGAACGACGATAATGATTACAACTATTCATATGATTGTTTAAACCATCTTTTTGAATTTTTTTATAATCAGCAAAACATTCCCAACAAAATTCATGTTGACATTTTTTACATGTCATATGATCACATCCAGAAATTTTCTCAATATATGAATGACATTTAGGACACTTTTTCGAATTTTTTTTCAACCATGTAAGTGTATCAGAGTCAGTAGATGAACGTTTCCATCGATCATATTGTTGACATGTCATTGTAACATGCCATTTTATACGATGAAATATACATGTTCGTTTTTTACATTTAATACAAGTCATCATTGGATTTGCCTGTATACCCATATCATGTAATTGTCCTGAACCACATTCATTAGATGCACACCAAACAAATTCTTGAATTTTTTCAAGATGTTCATGTGTTATTTGTCGATCATATCGTTCAAATAATTGTAAATTATCTTTCAGAGAAACAATAGAACGAATAGAATTATAATAAAATATACTTTCACAATTAGGCTCAAGACAATGTATATTATTATTATTATAATTATTAGTTAAATTTTCAAGAAGAAATTTTATATTATTATATACACATGTATTACATATTGTAGGTTGAGAATGTTCACATTGATCACTATAACGTTCTTCATATTCAATAATTGGCTGATCTAATAAACAAACATTACATTCACGAATTTCATTTCTAAAAACAAATTTAAGAAAAATTATCAACTATAACTTATTTTTTGTTTTGTTTCATATACTTGATTAAAGGTAAGGATAATCGTTGTTGAGAAACTGTTACTTTTGAACATTCACTTATTGAATCATTTGTACTTTCGATTTGTGATAATGGAGATAAATCTCTTTTCATTTCTGATTCATCAGAAATACCGAAATTAATAAATTTACTTCGTATTTTTCATTTATATTTATTTTAATTTAATTCATGTATAAAGATTGTACACTGTTTTCATATTAGTATCAAGTTCAATGATTGACTATAAAATTTTGTATTCTAGATTTCTATTTTATAATATTGAATATATTTTTTTACGCATTACTTATTTAAAGAAAATCGCAAGTAATTATTAATCTGATATTAATTCGGACTTCTTTGGAAATTAGAAGAAAGCGTTTATTTTGAAAATCATCTGATTTTTCAGACATGTCTAGGATGCTATTTATTGAACTATTCAAAAAATTGTGCTTATGGCTTCGTTTCTTAAGATATACTTGCTATTTTATGTCCGGTTTTTCGCATTCATAATTGTTTCAGTTACGTTGTGCTTACAAATTTAAGTCAAAAGATAAAGGTGTGAATTACAATAGTTAAGAGGAAGATTTTGTTCGATTTACTTAGATAATAAGACTGTTCGCATCGTCTCAAAATTCATTTTAACTCAAATCATAAATCTTTAGGGTTTTTTTGATTTAAACTCTTATTCAGTCATGAATTTTAATCTTTCAATTGATTGAAATCTGTTGATTAAACTGAATGTAAAAGTGATACTTGATTCTTGATGGATTTGTTTATTCTCATTAGACAAAGTATTTGATGACATTATATTATCGACGTTTTTTGGTACTACAGCTAAATAATAAATTGAAATAGAGAATAGATATAATTAAGTGTATATTGCATTTATATTTTTGCATTGGGAGATTTATGATACTAAAATGACATACTATTTTTCTTACATATAATTTCATAAGAATAAAAAGCTCAAATAATTGATCAAATTATTAGATCGTTTAGAATGCATGCTCTTGAAATATTATGGTTTTTATGAAAAAGGTTCTTCTATTTATGATCGATATTACTGATGTGAAAATAAATGAGCAGAAAAAAACTGGAAAGATTTTATATCAAGATATTTACACTCAAAGAGTTTGTTTTTTCATGAAAACTTTAATGACTTATTAGGGTGTGGGTCAGGGTAAAGGTACGGATGCGTCCATGAGAGCAAAGCCAACCAATTCCACACTCACACCCGGCTAAGAAAATAAAATAAATCTTTTTTCAACTTCTATTGTTGATTCATCAACAAAAAAATATTTTATTGACTACGTTTACGATCAACATGTTAGCAGTAACAGTTATTACAAAGTTATTGCCAACTTATTTGATCACATTCGTAATCAAACTTCTACAGACTCCCCCATTCTTAGTGTCTTCGTAGTTTCTCACCAGTTTCTATTCGTTCTTCTCTTTTCTCTCTCCCGCTATATTTTTTCTCTCGAGTTCATGTTTTGATAGTCAGTTCATCTTTTGTCCTAGTCCACATCACTTGTTTTTCCCTCATCTATCCCGTCTCTTCCTTTTCATCCCTCTCCATTATCATTGTTTGTCCCTTGTTTTTGCTGTTTATTTTCTTTTCATAAAGTAAACATCCTGATTGAAGATTTGCTAAGGTAAGATTAGTTTTCATTATTTATTCTTTGCGCCGTATGTATATACATCAAAGAGAAGACCTAACACAACAATAGAAAAAAGTTCTTTTTAGCACAAGTTCACGACCAGCTGGATTAGTATAACTTGAACTAAAAATAAAATAGATTTTTATAAAACAAAAGAATATTATTTGAAACTTACACCGATTTAGATGAGCCAAAATTTGTTGTCGTAAGTCAGTACACTACAAGAAAAAATAAATATTTACTTAACGATAAAAAAAAGTACTTTTTATACTCACTCTGTAAATGGCATTCACAGCATCTTCGATTGTCGCATAAACTACATTACCCATCCCTCCGCCAGTTAATGTAACACGACTGAGCACATAGCTCATATCCTGTAATAACAAAATTAAAAAGAAACTAATGATATTTTATTGAAAAAAGTCTTTGAAGCTTACCAGATTCGTTATTACACAAAGTTCAAAAAGCATGCGTAGAACACGTCTAATTGAACCTATGTTTACATTTGGTTCACCGGCTGTGATATTAACGACGGCCCCGCTAATAAATGATTTAATCCTTTTTGCATCGGTTGGATCCTAAACAAAAAAAAATATATTTATATATATATATTTATGTTTAAATAAATCATGCTACGATTCTATTGTCAATACCTCTCTCATTATAGCCATCTCTACTTTTTGCGACCCAATACACGACAATAACAATGGGATCAGACGGAGATACAGAGAAATAGAAAAACATACCATTATACTTGACCTTTTGGTTCGCAGCCAATGAGATCAACAAACCGACAACAACTAAAGGACACCAACCAAATCAACACCAAAAAAACCAACACCAACGAAACCAACAACAACGGAAGATTAAATCTAAAAAAGAGAAAGAAAAACTTAACAATGATAAAAAATATAAACTGCATTCATTTATAAATATTTGAGTGTCCTCCATGCTCTTTTTAACATGTATAGCTTATGACGAAAAAGCAAATGACTGTAAACAGTCTACGATATGATTTAATTTTTATCGATACCTTTTATTTTCTTCATGTACAACAATAAATTTAAGCGACGAAAGAAAGAGACGGGTAGATAGATCCAAAACATTTTTATTCACGCACATGTACGATATACGCAATAATCGAGGCATTAACCGAATAAAAACACAATGTGTCTATCAAGGGTGTTGATGATTGAACATTTTCATCACCATTTTCATTGGTCATTCTTACAAGTGTTCTGTTTTAGTTGAAAGAGGCTACTGGACGTAGAACGCGCCCTAGTCATTGAAACGAGAAAAAATCGAAAACTTCGATAGAAGAAGATTCCGGCGATCACGCAGTCAAAGCGTGTGGCAAACAAAGACTCTTATCTTTCTGTTATATAGTTAGTCCGATACAGTGTGGAAAAATACGTCTTTACTGGAGTGTGACTATTTTTCGAATGAAATTATTTATAAATCTACTTATGATCTTATTCAATCTTATACAAAATATCTGAAAAAGATACAGAAACAATAACAGAAAGTGGTTGAAGAGTTTTATCAAGAAATCAATGACATATGTTACTAGGTAATGTAATTGTTTGTTTTTCCTCGAACTCAGACATATTTTTTTAAAGAAGATAGGGAATGAAAGTTTTTATTCAAGGTTTTGTTACTTTTCTCTTCATACCAACGATAATTAAAGATTAGAATCCGTTATCGTGCGTTACGGATCTAAGATTTCTATTAATAATCGTAATTTCTTATATTTAATACAACAAAATGACCTTAATGTAAATGTAAATCATTACGACATTTCTCTGACTGGTTCATAAGGGAAGAAGAAGATTACGAAAATAAGTATGAACTGATTAGATTTGAACTTTCGAGAATAATCAATATCAGTCGATGTTTTCTCTGAGATTATTTCTACTCCGCTGTGATTTCAATTAATAATAAAATAATGAAGTGAATAGTCCGTATTGAATACATCCATGTTTTCTTTTTCCATAGTCGTTATTACGTAAAGATATTTCAACTGATATATTCAGAAATATTTTTATTTATTTATTTTAGATTTTAATAATGGCATCGAATAATAAATTAAAGTTTGATAAATTAGAATTTCTCTTTACATGCGTTAATAAATTATTAAAATATATTAATTTTACTGCTGTATTAAATAAAGTAAGAAAATGTAATTCACAATCTGTATATACATATATGTAGTTCATTCGTTTTTAGTTTTCAAGAAATGTAATTCGATTTGTAAAAGATGGTAAAGGTCAGTTTACATTATCATATGATGTCAACAATATAAAAATATATATTGCATTGATCCAAAAGGAAAACAACACAGTTGCACTTACAATAGATGTAAGCATGGTATTTTTTAACAAAATATAAAAAGAAAGTATTTTGAATTTTACGGTGTTCAAATTAATTTGCATCTAGAAGGAATATTTGATATAAACGCTCTTCAAGTATCAAATGAATATTCATGATAACTCAGGTTGATAATTCCTGGCGCAATATTTCATGAGTTTGGGACAAAAATCAAAGGAAGCTCACCGTTTTTGGCAGGACTCCTGTCGGAAAATGACATGAGTTCGACTCTGGAATCGGTTTCGGATGGAACTGAAGGTAATGGTCACCGGATCCGTTCAACAGGAATACTGTTTCCATGATATCTCCGAAATACCATGGAACCGGCCGTTTCTATGCCGGATTGTTCGATCTGGATACATTAAATCATAATTAAAAATGAGAATCTTTTTTACAACAACAATCAACGTAAGCATAATGTATTATAGCAAAATATTAAAAGAATATATATATTATATTTCAGGGAATAAATAATAATAATATACAAGAACAAGAACCATAAATGTATAGCCTAATGACGAACAGCTCTCCTGTAGCAACTACATTTATTGACGTTAAAGCAGTTTTCAACCAACTCTGGTTCGAAGGTTGTGTAGGTAAACTAAAAAGAATGGGTATACCGATAGATTATCTGCGTTGGATATATTCCTGGCTAACTGATCGTAGAACTTATGTTGAAATTGGTGGTAAAAAGTCACGCTGGTTTAATATCTTGAAAGGTAGTCCGCAAGGCTCTTCTATCTCTCCTACTCTATTTATCGCCTATCACACTGACATGGGTCACTTTCTGAGTTTTCGCCTTAATCATTTCTTTGCAGATGACCTCGTCGCTGTTGTTCCAGGTAGTATTGGCATGTAATTTACCGCGCAATGTCTTGATTGTTATGGTCTAACTGTGACATCTACGTTCTGGTTATATTCATCTATTTTTTGTTAAAGCTGGTTATATTCGTCTAATTGCTGTTACTGATCGATTCGGTGAATAATAATCAACCTATTGCTGGTGAAGATTATGAACCAGCTGCTGGTGATACAAACCAACAAGTTAAACCTGATGAAGTTAATACTGAAGAAGTTTTAGTTACACAAGATGTTCAAGATATTAGTGATGATCAACAAATTGAATCGAATGAACCAGCTCAATATCAACGAAAATCCTCTTATCACAGGAGAAGTCGATCAGCAAAAATTCGTCACAACAGAAAGCATGCTCGACAACAGAAGAAACACCGATTCGATCATCCAATACGAAGAAAATTCTATTATCGATTCAAATCATTTATGATTCGTAAAACTCTTCGATTGTACCAGATACCATTCGTCCACATGAAGAAGGATCGTGATGATGTGGTGGTGGGTTTACAAAACGAAGATATTCGACGACAAGCTGATCATGATTTAGGAACAACCATCTTTCATCGTCGAAGTTTTTATTATTATAAGAACAAATACCAATGGTAATCTTCCAGCTGCCGGTGTTATAATTTTTTTCCCTCTTTTCTTCTCCTTCTTTCTCATTTATTTTTTTGTGAAATAGTAAAAGTTGAACCTTTTTGTTCTCTTCCTTCATGATCATATCCTATACGGTGTCTCACTTTTTTTTATTGTTATATTTTCTCTTGTGAAAAAGTTTTTTGTTGTACAAAAATCTTTTTTCGGACGGGTAGGGTGTTATGGTCTAACCGTGACATCTACGTTCTGGTTATTTCTTTCTTGTCTTCTTTGTTACTGTTACATATATATTTAGTAGAATAAAAGAAAACTGTAGCTATTTTTCGAAAACTTTGCATTCTACGCCATACTAACATCTCAACCCATCAACTTTTCTAAAACTGAAGGCTTATGGTCAGCGAGAACAACAGGAGTTTCTAAATTTGAAATCTGTTCGAGTGAACATAGAATTGAATGGACTAAGAAATTCAAGTATCTAGGCTACTGGTTCACTCCTAAACTAGTATCTGGTACTTTAATTGAAAAAGCATGCTTAAAATAAGACAAAGAATAGGAATGATTAACTCGCTTAGATTGACTGGTGCTACTTCTCAGGATCTAAGCAAAGCGCTCTTTTACTCATTTGTTCTTTCCTTGTTCACCTGGCTGTTTCTTCTATTCCCATTGTTCACCATTAAACAACAACGACAGGATCTAAACCATTTCTACTATACATGGTTAAAGAGAGTAATGGTCTGTCGACACTGGTCAGACCATTTCTTCTCCTTCTTTTTCAATAAAATCTCGCTAGAAGATCGATGTAGAAAATACTGGAATAAATACCTTGTCGCTGTAGCCGATTCTGTTGATGGCGAGCTACTTCTTGAGCAAGTGAATCTCAATTTTTATAGAGATGCCTGGCGCAATAAAGAATATAAAATTAAATAAATCTTTCTCTCAAAAAGGTTTTGTCGAGCATAACTCCCTATTAACTGGAATCCTAAGTTGGTGTGCTAACACCCCGACGGATGATTCTATTTCCAACTATGATTTAGATGATGTGCGATTACTAGCCGATTTTCCGTATACATTCTAATTTACCTTTACTCATTTAGATATATTTTTTTCTCTTCTCTCGTCTTCTCTTTTCTTCTCCTCTATCACGTATCACATGTTTTTCTTATCTAATAAATAATATGGTGTATTTTTGTTTTTATTTTCGGTTTTTCGTTTGACTGTATGTTCGGTGTAGTCTTTTTTATAAATGATCAATTCATCCAGTTTCTTTCTCTGCTCTCTTTTTCCTTCACATTTTCTCTACATGACGTTATGTCCTCCCTATTAAATTTAATGTACTGTTAGGACCACTGAGGTCGCCAGTAATCGCAAATAAATTAATAAGTAATAATAATAATATATGATATTATACTTCTAATGAATTAATTCATTCATAATTTTCTGTTATAGTTTCCATATCAAAGCTACGAAGCCGTTTATGGTATTAATAAAAAATACTATTTCTAAACTAAAAAATCAAGTATGTTGTTTTGCTTTGAAAAACAACCCAGGACGATGGTGTCTGAAGCAGGATTCAATGAACTCTCCGGAATACCATGGAACCGGCCATTTCCGTGCCGGATTGTTCGACCTGGGTACATTTAGATCAAGTTAAAATTGAAAATGAACTTATTGAGTAAGATATTGCTTTTAATAAATAATTAAATCATTTTTTATTATAGATTTAATGAAATAACAACTAATAAAATAAAATTATTAGTTCAGAAACTGATGGACACAATCAACCATGATCGTGCATCTTCATACTATGCTCCGGCATCAAATCATACTTCAACATCATCGTATGGTACGGCATCAAATTATACTGCAACATCATACTATGCTCCAACACAAATGATCTAAGGAAAAAAATATTTTATTGAAATAAAAAGCAATTTTTTTTATAAAAAGAAAAAGTTTTTATTTCGTTAATGATATATAATTCAAATAATATTTTTGTGCTCTTTCTAAGATTCTTTTTGTTGAATGATGACGAGATTTAGATGATAATTGTGCCAAGAACATAGATGGACATCCTTTTCAATAACCTCCTCGTTTTATCACATTTACCTTTTTAGTGTTCTATATCTTTCGCTTGTTCTGTTTCTTTTTGTCTCGCTTTGTGTATTAGATATAGTCAGTCTTAACACGCGTACACTGAAGACGAAGGTTGGACTCAACGTATTAATACTATAATTAATCTGAATTGTACTGGGAGACTCGAAGACGGAATAGAGTCTGAACATTAAGCTCAATAAAGTGGGAATAGGAATTATTTTATTGTTCTTTTGTTGTTATATTTATTTAATAAAAGATTTATATTCATTATCTATATAGACTATTTTATTTTCCGTTACATAGACAAAACTAGAGTGTCATGATAAAAAAAAGTTTACTTGATTTCTTGAATAAGTGTCAGCCGTACGCTGTACATTGAAATAAAGATGGCGAATATGACGTAACATTGAAAAATCATCTTCATTATTCAGGAATTCGTGTGCAGACTGGATTGGTAACTGATTAGAATCGTCCGGAAGATAAAAATCGATGTCTGGAATATATCCATACCCAGGTCGAACAATCCAGCTCGGAAACGGTCGATTTCAGACAAGTCCGGAGATTTCGTGGAAACAGTATTTCGGTGAACGGATTCGGTCACAGAATTTATTCAGTTTCGGACGAAAGTAGCAACCAGATATAATCACCAGATTCCTGCGTCGAATTCCTGACATTTCTCTACGAGTTCAGGCTCGAAACGGTATGTTTCGTGCGGGTTTCAACCGCAAATTCTGCTTCAGGAATCATCGTTCTGAGTATCCATGGTAAACTACTGAAATGCGTGTTGTTGTTTAACCTAAAGTATAATTTATGCAATGTTATTTTTGTATCTGTTATAGTAGAAGTCATATATATATATATATACCTTTCTTTTTTTTT